ACCCCAAAGGTCTACATCCACTTCTTTTAATTTGTGATATTTCAGTGGTACAGTGTTACATTCTAAAGAGAGATGGTTTCAGGGGCATGTTTGGTTGTTTCACAGGTGGCTGAAGAAGTCACTCTACCATTTTCTTGCCCTCCCTGATTTACCCTAAAACCAACCATTGTACGTCTGTCGTGTCTTATGTTTTTCTTAAAGAGCTTTCAAAGTCATAATGATATCACTGTCATTCCAAATGCCTGCAGTAGGTTTTCATGGTCAAGAAGATATATTGTGAGGGTCAAATAATCATGTGAATATTGCTTTTAGATGTAATGGAATTATCAGGAAACTGAGTTGCCCCTTGGCAGAGGTTGCACTCTGAGTACTATCTAGTTTATTGTGGAACACCAGTGTCATGTCCAAAAGAATTATCAACATGGAGACAAATAAAGACTGGCTTGATTTAGACAGCTGGATAAAATTAGACTATTAGGAGGATGGAAAATAGTGAGACTGTAGAGTGTCACCTTCTCTGTAGGGAGTCCCAGAGGCAGTGCTGGACTCAAACAACAACCCGGCATCGTAGAACACACTCATACTGTTCTTCCCTCCACCTGGTGTGCAACCTGTGTCGTACTTCTCTACAGTGTCCCACACCTGAGCACCCAGAAATACAATCAGACAAGGCTTAGGGTAACAATATGGAAGTTAAACAGACATTCAGTATATGTAAACTGCAGTGCATTGTAACCACTTTTAAAGTGTATTGATTGGTACTTTAGAAATAGTGAAACATGAACATGCACACAGTTTCTTTACTGCAGCTTTTTAAGGGCTTCAAATATTTTCAAAGATAGACAGAATCAGGAAATTGCCTTTTTCTGGGTGAGGCGGTGCTTGTTGTTTAGGACATAGACGCCTTTGTCAACTGCCACCAGTCCCACTGTGGCCTCTGGATCTCCTGTCACCTTCAGACCAAAAATCCTGCCAGGCTCATAGGACGGAGCAGGTCTTGATGGTTCCAACCTTAGCTAAATGTAGGATGAAGGGCAATAAATGAGTCACAGTTTTATGTTTGTTAAAGCTTTTACATGCATACAAACATCCATCCATCATCTATACCGCTTATTCCTGAATAGGGTTGCAGGGGGCTGAAGACAAACCCAGCTTACACTGGGCGAGAGGCGGGGTACACCCTGGACAGGTTGCCAGTCTATCACATGGCTGACATGTAGACAAACCACACACACACTCACACCCACACCCACTCCTAGGGGCAATTTAGAGTTGCCAGTTAACCTAAGCTGCATGTCTTTGGACTGTGGGGAGAAGCAGGAGTACCTGGAGAGAACCCAGGCAGGCACAGGGAGAACATGCAAACTCCACAGAGAAAGGCTGGAGGTTGGCTGGGGGTCGGACCCAGGATAGGTTTGTAGCATACAAACATCCATCCATCATCTATACCGCTTATTCCTGAATAGGGTTGCAGGGGGCTGAAGACAAACCCAGCTTACACTGGGCGAGAGGCGGGGTACACCCTGGACAGGTTGCCAGTCTATCACATGGCTGACATGTAGACAAACCACACACACACTCACACCCACACCCACTCCTAGGGGCAATTTAGAGTTGCCAGTTAACCTAAGCTGCATGTCTTTGGACTGTGGGGAGAAGCAGGAGTACCCAGAAAAAATCCACACAGGCATAGGGTGAACATACAAACTCCACACAGAAAGGCCCTGAGTGGCCTTGAACTCGGAACTACCGCGCTAACCACCATGCCGCTGTGCCACACTACATACAAACATGTCTCAGAAATCTATAACTAACTTCATCACTTTGTGTGCCCTGTCTGTTCACTTGATTAGTTTAACTCTGCTTCAGCAGTGTTGTGTGTCTCACCGTGCCCATGCAGGAGTCCTTGACATCCACCCAAACAGAGTCTGATACCACTTCATTGTCATTTGTGTGGTAGTAGGCTACAATGCGGAAAGATGGCAGCATGTCTTTGGTGATGGGAACTATCAGGGAAATCAGTGCTTGACCCCTTGTCTTGTAACGGTCATGTTTCACCAGCCGACCTCTGCTCAGGATCTAGGAACACAGATTTACACAGCACCTCTTTTCAACAATGAGCGTAAACACTATGTAAGTTGTGTGATGCAAGCAAAGTAGTTACACATGTCCACAGACACACAGAGGCAAAACATCTCACCAGGTATGTGATGTCAGTGTCTTGAGCTGGCTGCTTGTTGAGGTTGAGGTTGATTTTCAGGTTGTCTCCTAATTGAAGCTGTGCTGTATCAACACCTGCAAAAATGACATTTTGTCAAGTGTCTGACACTGAAAAGATGTGGAGCATGGTACATACTTTGCCACTGCCACCACCATCACTGCCTTATTTGAGGATTTTCTTTAACAACAGCCCAGGCTCACATAAAAGTGTACAATAGTTACACTGGTCCACAGCATAAAACATAGTACTGTCACAATTATGGCTGTAAAATTGTGACATGTCAACATTTTTTGTATTGCAGGCCAGGGTCTTTCTTCGTGTTCTCCATCTTGGTGTTTTAAGGTAGGTGATAAGCAACAAAATGGTGCATTACCACCACCAACTGGACTGGAGTGTCAGTTGAGAAGCTAACATTTAGTTTCCATTGAAGTCAAATGGTTTTGAACTACAGAAAGTTAGCAACACTAGGAAGGTGCTGGTGGGGAGGATGGATGGGCCCTACAAACACCTTATTCTCATGCAGACTAGAGATTGCATCGCGTGTGTGATGTACTTTTGATTAGGTTTTTTTCTTTGAGAGTTTTAATCAAAGACAACATCATCCTGAAGTTCGTGGATGACACCGCAGTGATAGGTCACATCCCTGCCGGGGATGAAGCAGCCTACAGGAGGGAGGTGGCCGGTCTGGTGTCATGGTGCAAGGACAATAATCTCAGCCTCAACACGAACAAGACGATGATAGTGGACATGAGGACGAAGAGGAGCTCTCATCGGCCACTGTTCATCCGGGAGCTCGAAGTGGAGAGGGTGAGCAGTGTAGTTGTTTTTGGCAGCCTGTTTTAATTTTAGTTTTAGTCCAGTCTTTGTGTTAAGCTGTCATTTTAGTTTTTATTAGTTTGTCATGTTCATACTCTTTATAGTCTAGTCAAGTTTCAACTAAAAGTCTGAGCATTTTAGTCTTATTTTAGTAAGAATTATACTTGACTATTTTGATCTAGTTATAGACAATGAAAACTGATGACATTTAGTCTAGTTTTAGGCTATGGACCGCAAGCGCCTGCAGAGAGTGGTAATGACGATCACCAGGACTCCACTGACCTCTCTGCAGAGTATTTACCACCACAGGGTGTGTAGGAAAGCTGCCTCCATCCTCAAAGACCCCACTCTAACCCCCAGCGCGGACTGTTTAAACCCTTACCTTCTGGTCGGAGGCTCAGAACTGTGAAATGCAGGACCACTAGACTGAAAAACATTCTTTCCGACTGCCATCAGACTCCTAAACAGCTGAAACAGCTGACTCAGAATATACCTCGTATAATTCCATCTGTACTGTTTACATACTAATTTTGCATATGCATAATTGTACAATCACTGCTGCAGAGTTACACTCCATGGCTCCCACATAGCATACATTTTCTCTGCATTATATTGTGTTCTTGTATTTTTATTTGCTCCCTTCACTTGTTGCTTTAAAGTGCCTTAAATTTATGATTTTACTGCCTATTTAGATTTATGTTATTGCTCATCTACTTTATATTTCACTTGTATTGTGTTGCATCCATGTGGACGGCAAAGTAAGAATTTCATTATACAGGGAAACACGTTTCCTAACTGTGCATATGACAAATAAACACTTTGACCTTGACCTAATCAAACCCAGGGTCTTTCCCTCACCTTAACGTGCCTA